AAAAAAAAAATATGAGAGATTCATTTCAGTGAAAACAAAGGCTATTTTGATGGCTTGAAAAGTTTGAGTCATTTGTTTCGCATTATTTAATTATGTTTCCGCAGCGAAACACTTTTTTTTAAAATTTTTCAGCAGAGTACAAGTAGTACCTTGGTGCCAGCGACTTATGTACCTGGTTATCACGAACCGGAGGTGCGGCAGATGCTGTATCATCAACTTGGAAAAACAGCGATTCACGTCTCCAAGATATCCATTGGTTAAAAAAATTTGAATTTATTGAACTTATCATTTCATTTATACTAGTGAATGTATTTAAAGCAGCCTGAGCCAATATCAGCCACTCGCTAGCACGTTTTTTAAAATTTGCTAAGAAACAAGCTGATGGTGAGTTTAAATTCCTGGCACGTGCACAATTTACCAACAGAAACGAATGAATGAACCATCGTACAGGGACTGACGAAGCGGAACACTTGGCTTCTTGCGTGGGTTTATATCACGCTTTTCTAGAATAGTCAAGAAATTTTGTGTTCCTAGCGTGTACCCGCTAGACGCTTCGGACTAATGTTAAAACTGAGAATGTCAGGTTGTGGAAGCATTGGAGGACTTTTTGGTGATGTGAAGAATTCAGTGGATGATGAGTTTATCGAAACAGCAGTGAAGAGGGGGATCAATTACATCGATACGGGATATTGGTATGGCCAAGAGCGATCCGAAGAACTCCTTGGACAGGCAATTCTGATTCTAAATATTTCTCGCATGAGATTGTATGCGTTGATGACCAAATAAGCAGTCAGACTCTCCGTCAGATAAGCAGCATGCCGAATACCATCGTATTTGGAAGTAAAATGATCGGGAGGTACAGTAACAGCGAGAAAGTAAACCAGCACTCGGGCATCACCCGAAGAGACGGTACACATACATCGTACTAGGGATTAAAAAGCCTGGCAAAGCCACACTAGACGTGTGAGAGCAACCCGGTATCGTCAGTAACATGGGATACCACGCTGATAATCCGGGCAGTCTTGGTATACCAGTGCAGCTTATTGTTCAAGATATTGAAATCTGTGCAGTTTAAAGGCTTTTCCAGGTGCTGATCAAAATTCCCCGACAGGTTTACTATATTAGCACCAAGATTGGGCGATTTGAATTGGACTTTACACGAGCGTACGACCTTCGTGCTGATACCCTCCTCAAGCAGCTCACAGTGAGCCTAAAGAAGCTGAAATTAGCATATGTTGATATTTGCTACTTACAGGTCAGTCAGGTTGCAACTCTTCCCTAAAAATGCCGATGTAA